TCCAGGCTCGTAAATATTTTTTTTAACAAAAAAAAGTAAACATAAGTGAGTAGGGTTAATAGCAAACTTATTTGACCCCTTTATTGACCCAAACTTCACCAACTAATTTATGCAGTTGCTTTATACTTTTACTACAAAAAATACATGTTATTATTTACAGCTCAAACTTCCTTATTTCTAAATGTAATGATGACATTCATTTCTGCTTGGGAAGGATAAAGACAATTGCAGCCAAGGAGAACACATTCTACAGTAGGTGTGTGGACATGTATTGGAGCATTCTATCCACCCCAAAATGATGATCAGGTGTCTGAGATCCTAGTACTTAAGTATATGATGTCAACTGGAAATAAGGTCCGAGGAGGTGATCAAGTTAAGACAAAGCCTTTAATATGAATCCTAGTCCAATATTATTTTGGAACAAGCACTCAGACACCAATAAAAGTGGAAGAGAGGAGTTGCCACCAGGGGATCGAAGCCAGAATAGCTCCTGAAGGCTATCAGATCCAGTTTGTACTCACATTTTATTCTCTTAAACCACAGGGTAGGGTGAACAAGCAAGCAGTAGTTCACAGACATGTACATGGAAATCAGCAGGTTGTAGAGGGCAATGACCTCTGTTTCCATGTCACTGTGTTCCGGGTAACAAGTGAAGTCAAGTTTGTCAAACAGGCAGTACAAGCAGTGTTTGAGTAAATCACTAAATCAGGTATCCAATAAGACAGTGGTGCTGAGGGTGATTTGACCTGTGGGGGCCTGACTCAAGAGGTTCCAGAGGAGAAGAGTATTAGTATGTGGCCTGTGACCATTTTTGTAATATTTTGGTGGAAAATGTGTTTGCTTTCTGCCCTTGTCCAAAATAACTGCTGGAGGCTAAACTGATGAGTTACAGATGAACAGCTTTGGCAGAGGAGTTTTCCAGACAGCCTAGTATTGACTGTGCTGCTTGGTTATTAGTGGTCACTCATATGCAGATCTGTAATGAAAAGGAGCAAGCTAAGCAGGGAAAAATACGAAATGTACAGTTTGAAAAGGAGCACCAGGAAAAAGTTTAAAGAAAACCTTGAATCAAATGGAATAAAGGGAGTGGTGACCTTAGGGCAAGATCCCACCCAGCTAAGCTTCCAACTTGTGAAGAGGAATTAAGGAAAAGTTTAGGACTAGGTATAGTGGTGCATGCCTTTAATCCCAGAACTTGGGAGGCAGAGGCAGAGGCAGGGGCAGAGGCAGAGGCAGGTAAATCTCTGAGTTTGAGGCCAGTGTAGTCTACAGAGCGAGTTCCAGGATATCCAAGCTTAGGTGGTGAAGGAAACCATCAAAAACAGAAATCTGGTGAAAATTTAATTGAATGAGGGGGGCCATATTCCAGTCCCAGTAAGCTGCGTAAGTTGGCAGCTTCAGCCATGTAGTTCTGACTTTCAAGTCAAGGATACAAGAAAAGGGTTATGGAATCTCCCTCAATAATTAAGGAAAGCCACCAAGGACAGGCATGTCAGGGGTCTCTGCATGGAGGCCTAGAGAGGTCATTGAGTAAAGCTGTAAAGGTAGAGTCTGGATTGCCTTGGGGAGCCCAAGATGTTGGAGATGCCAGAGTTGTGGGGATACCTGTCAAAGAAAGCTGCTAACAGGAAGTGGAACAAGTCCAAGAGAGAGAAATGTGCTGTAGTCAACAAAACTACAAGGAGTTGGAGATCTGAAGAGCACTTTGACATCAGACATGGAGATGTGGAGACTGGAGTTTACCTGGCTGGGTTTTGGTCTTGCTTTGGTTCTCACTTCCTCACTAGTCTCCCTTTCCTTACTTTTGGAATGATAATGGATATCCTGTGCCATTGTAGGTTGGAAGTATCTGATCGACTTTTTGATTTTGATTTTACAGGGGGTTACAGTTAAGAGATTGTCATGAGTCTCCAGAGAGACTTTGGACTTTTAGACAGGGTTGAGACTGGTAGACTATGGGGACTTTTGGTTGAACTGAATGCGTTTCTGCATTATGATATGGCTATAAGTCTACGGAAGCCAGGGGATGGGATGTGGTGGTTTGAATGAAAATAGCCCCCACGGGCTCATAGAGAATGGCATTATTAGGAAGTGTGGCCTTGTTTGAGGAGGTGTTGATCTTGCAGGAGGAAGTGGCCTTTGAGGTTTCAAGTGCTCAAGCCAGGCCCAGTGTCTCCCTCTCTTTCTGCATCCTACTGATCCAGAAGTAGAACTCTCAGCTCCTTCTCTAGCACCATGTATACCTGTATGCAGCCATGCTTCCCACCACGATGATAATGGACTAAACCTCTGAACCTGTAAGCCAGCCTCAGGTAAATGTTTTCCTTTGTAAGAGTTGCCATGGTCATGGTGTCTCTTCACAGCAATAGGAAATTGACTAAGGCCGTACCGTTAGCATCACCATTACTTGGTTGAAGGAACTAAGTCTCAGATTTGTCAATAAAGCTATCCTCAGTCCTTCAAACAAGAGGGACAATTTAAACTTGAATTTTGGCATTTGGATTTCAGAGACTGTTCTCTTAACACTGAAATGTGAACCGCAAATTTCCAGAGACAAGTCATCAAATTGGACAGTTACACTTCTAGAACGAGGAGGACTCCATTTTAGTTGGGAAAACTTTAAGTGCCAATACATGTGCTGGTTTCCTATGGCTACTGTTAAATGTTGCTGCAGACAGGTGACTTGAAAACACAGAAATGTGTTCCATCATAGTCCTAGAGGTTCTCAGTTGAGTGTAAGTATCTTTGCCATTCTCCAGGGATGTGGTGCAGATCCCTTCTTTACGTCGTTCAGCGGTGGAGGGGTTGGTGTCCCGCCAGGTGTCACTCAGGTCTCTGTCTGTCAGTCACATTGTCTCCTGCTCCACTCTCTGCACAAATCCCCTTTCCAGGTCTCCTGAAAGAGCCATTTTTATTAAAGCCTAGATAATCCATGATGATCTTCTTATCTCAAGATTCTAAGTTTAATTACATCTGCAAACACCTTCTTCCCAGATAAAGTAGCATTTACACACACTCTGCGTCTTTGGGGAAGCACAGTTCAAGCTTCTAGAATACTATCTTGTGTTTTTATAGTAGTGCATCCTTCTTATGGTCATGGTAAAGTCATGTCACTCACTTATAGCAGTGAAGATACACAACTACAAGAAAATAGGGATGGAAAAATAGAGAGGAGAATTAAAGGAGAGAAAATGACTTCTGTGTGCATTAATTGTTGTTTCGAAAGCTTAAGAGATATTGCTCTTTGAGAGAAATTTAGAACAAACAAAAACTGATAAGTTGGAGAAATAAATAAATGTATGTGTACAACAGGATTTCAGGGCAGCTGAAATGACTTATTTTAATTCAAGATCTTTCAAGGAGTGTTATTTAGAGAAAGAGAAAATACAGTCAGTATCATTATCAACAGACCCTCCCCTGCTCCTGTTTCTATGGCAAACAAAATACATTTCATGATAATTTTGTAGTCTTACAAGGCTAAGAAATAGTTTGTCTTTGGACAGATGCTGGCAAATCTTGTGAAGGCAGCAAAGCAATTGTGAGTCTTTTCATGTGAGTGTTCATGACAGGCTGAGCTCAGAGTGGCAAGCAATTGAAATGTTATTCTTAACAAGAAAGTTGGAACGTTATTGAAATTTTTACACCCTAGCAGTTTAACAGTAAGCATGAACAGACAATTCAAAAAAGAAACACTAATAAGCAATAAAAAAATTCTATCTCAATAATAAACAAATAATGCAAGTTCAATCTTTGTCATGTAGTTGACTGGGCAATGATTAAAAAGAATAAAATTCAGTATTGTGAAATATTTGAGTAAAAGGGAATTTTAATAATTGCTGGTAGGATAGAAATTAGGATGAATTTTCCAAACACCTGTTGGATTCCTATACATAAAAATATTTGAAGTGTGCCCAACAATTGACCCAACGATTCACTTTTAGGGAATATACCTTAGGGAAGTAAAAAATTCACGTATCCAAAGATGTATACACAAATAGAGCTGTTCTGAGATGCTTGTGCCACTTACAAATTAGAAGGTGTATGTATGTGTGTGTGTGTGTGTGTGTGTGTGTGTGTGTACAATACTAAAAAGTTTACTAGATAATATATCCACATATCAGAGTCCTTCTGGCTGGTAGGAATGGGTGGAGCCCATGCGACTCTACTGACATGAGCATGAATTGTGTTAGTGGCATGCTGATATATGAGAAAAGGTTACAGGAAGACAGACACCCCATTTTTGTGAATGGCACATTTTATTTACATATTTAATTCTGCTCTCTATATTTTATATTTTTACATAAAGATAAACATGAGGTATGACAAAGTATTATTTTACAATTTATGTAACATTTCTAAAACTATAATATTAGAAAATTATTATAAATATAAATCACACTATATTAAAATATCTAGAAGATAGAGTATATGAAACTTTGTATTCATTCTTGTTCTTTAGTTAATTCAGGTTTGGAACCATGTGTAAAATAACTGAAGTGATTTATAAATCTCTTAACATAGTCCTTAAAAAGTCTCCATTCCGGTAAACGGAGAAATGTCTCTGTGGTTAAGAGTGCCGATTAGTCTATTAGAGGACCAGAGTTCAGACCCCAGAACATACGTCAGGTAGCTCACCAGTGCCTAACTCAGGTCCAAAGGATCCAAGGCCCCCTCTGGCCTTCATGGGCATCTGTGTGCATACACTCTCACATACACTCACAAAATACAACACATCTTTGGGGTAGGCAGATAAATAAATAAATAAGCAAACAAATATGATTCTCCATAATAAAAGTAATCAGTGTGTTAGGCAATATTTCACAGACACATTTGTGAGATTTGGCTTAATAAATTTTGCATTGTGAACACACACAGTTAATAGAAAACACACATGGAAAAAATTTTAGGGTAAAATCTTGTACTTCGTTGCCAGAGAGAGAGAAATAAATTTCTGTAACTAAAAACAAAGTCCAATAACACTTTTCTGTTTGTTGCTGAAGGACAGCCCTGTGCAATATGCAGAAGATACGTGGTTGGAAATCCAGAATGTGGCTCAGACGAAGGGAAAATAGGCAGGTGTTAAAATAAGGTAGGGATTCTCTGCTGTTGTTGCTCCTTTATGTTTTAAAATAAACATTTCCAGGAAATTTATTCACATTCCGCTTGAGTTAGCCTACAATTTTTGAGCTCTTAGAAGTCACCATGCTCAAACAAGAGATCTGTAAACCAGTTACCACCTTCAAGTCTTCACCTCATTATTGAGCAGTTTCCTGATTTGCACAAAAGAGAAACTGTGCCAGTTACATTCAGAAACACTGCACAGATACTCTGAGAAGTGCTGAAATGTACTTTTATTGTAAATAATTACAGAGAGATGTGTAGAGGGCATGAGGTCCTTCTCACAGATAAGCACCAGGGACACCAGGAATGTTAAACACAAGGGTGTCTTTTTAACAGGAGATATATAATCTGTTTTTCACCCAGAAGGCTTGGAATGGATATAGTTAATAGCCTCATGATTTGTGCTGTCTAGAGGGCCAGGCCACACCTGACTCCCTCAGACTTTTATGTTTTATCTCAGTCATTCTTCCCACATTCTTAAGCATTGTTTCTCAGTCAATAGAACCCATCTTCATGGAAGAGGTCACATGCACTTTGCAAAGAAATGCAATGTAAACATATCTTAAGCGTTGTTGTACACATAAGGTTAACTTAATTATCACCGAGAAACTTTTCCCCCCAAATTGTTCTTTGCTTAAATATGCCTAAAATAAACTACCCTAGGGTCAAACTCTAGAATTTTTGAACCGACACTGTCTACTGAGTTGTGTTGAACAGGGTTGCCTTCTTGCCTCCCAGGGATCATTACTCTGGCAGCACTGGTATTTGTACTCGTTAGGTGCTGGAGTTCTGAGGAATTCCTAGAGCTCTTCTGGTCTTCACTCTCCACTGGGATCCTGAAGAAGTAGGTTCTAAGAACAGCAAAGGAACACCTCAGCAACATGATGAATGAACTTGTCTGAGAAATTCAGGGAAAGCAGGCAAAAGGCCAAAGCTTCCTTCTTTCCTGTCCTCTTATGTGAGTTGTCACCAGAAGGTGCAGCCCAGATATAGAGTGAGTTTTCCCATCTCAAATGATACAGTCAAGAACGTTCCTCACAGGCGCGTCCAGCTGATTGAGTTTTAGTTGATTTCAGTTGCAGTGAAGTTGACAACCAAGATTAACCATCACACTATCTAATCAAAACTTGGTATTTTTAAAAGCAAAACTTTCTGTCCATTGATAAAGATCTCCCCTTTCATGTGCTCTTCAACCTCTTATAACATTCCTCTTCTGTTTTATGAGTTCAGCATTTGCAGATTCCACTCAAGTAGGATCATTCAGTATTTGTTATCTGGGTCCTTCAGGTATATCATGTTGTTGCAAATTGTGGGATTTCTATCACATTCAAGACAGAATAGTCTCCGAGGGCATGCATATTCTTCTCTTTGTGATGCTTTCAGATACTATGAATGTTTTCTTTCATTGATGCTGTACTTGAATTGCGTTCAAGGCAGACTACTGAAATTAAGAACCAATGCTTTCTCGTTGTTAGCATGGACTCCATAGGTTTTCCTTTTATGGTTGCAAATCGATCCCAGAAAGGTACACATTGGATAGATACATAGGCATGCTCTCACTGTTTAGATATCTCAAATTTGCTCATTAATTAAAGGCCATGACAACTGCAACACATCTGTCATCTTGTATCTTCCATCTATCTTTTTAAATAAATTCTAACTATTTTATTTTAAACATAAAATTTAAGCATCTACACGACAAAATGTATAAAGGGCCCAACAGACTTACAGTAAAGGAGAAACATAGTCCTGCCCTTCACTCTTTTTCTACTCCTGATGCAGATTCTAAAGATCCTATAGGTCTCTGAAAGTTGCTAAATAATATGTGTTCACACCCGTGCTATCTGCTATTGGGGTATTGGTGGTTTGCTCTCTTGATCCACCTCCCAGCTCCAAGCTGACCCCTAAAATTCATCATATATTTTAATTTTTATGTGAACAAATTAAGCAGGTGCATGACCCCACTCATACACAGAAACTAAACACGCTGATTTCATGGGGGTGGAGAGGAGAATTCTTGGTACAAGAGGCTGGCTGGGAGGCACAGAGTGGGGTGGGGAGATGCTGATCTAAAACTTTAACTATAACTAAAATATGTTTTATTCTTGAAAAATCCTAAGGCAGTGAGTTAAAAGCATTCTCACCATAGAATACTAATTACATAAAGTAACCATATGAGCCATTCTACAATACAGATAAACTTTAGAACCTTATACAATACATGGTAAATGTACTATTTTAACCTGTTAAGGTTAATAATTTAAAATAAGAATGAAAGCATCACAACGTATGGATGGAGGCCTTTAAAAAAAAACTGTGCATGTATCAGACCTAAAACAATGATGATTATTCAAGGACTTTTTTTTGAGGGGCACAAAAATCCTATGCAAACTCAGACATGTTATTAGTCAAACATTACAGTGCACAACTGTGAAACAGAATGCATTTGATATGCAGAGTTCCCCTGGATAACATCTTTCCTGATTCATCAAGTTGTTCATGAACCCATTATTCTCATGTAAATACTGAATGCTGAATGTCAGGATGAAAACGTGCATAGGCTATTTCTCTCTACAAGCTCACATAGGTACATAGAGATGGTTCTTTGGTTTATTAAGCTATGTCTGGTCTATGCTAATAGATCTGTTTTCCTACTGGGTTGCAGGCCACCTATTATCTACACAACAGAGTGCACCTTCTCTTCTCCCTGGGAACTCTGCAACAAGAGCAATCAAGGGTAGATATTAGATTCAGAAAAACTGACCCCAGAGTTTTCCAGGTCTTCCATCCAAAACGTTTCCTAGAACACAGTATATGCAGATCATTCTTCCTCTTCATTTTGAATTCTTGCATGTTTGAAACAGTATTTAATCTGTGCATTTCTTTCTGATTAATTGCATATATCTCAACATACTATTTTATGAGAGTAACTCAATGGTCAAGAAGATTTAGGACTTCCTATTATTTTTCTTTGAATTCTAACTCCACTACCTCTACCACTTCTCCATTCCACCCAAGCCTGGAAATCCAAATGAATCTCCATAGCACTAAGTTTTACAATTCTGCTTAAGACACAAATTTAGTGAGTCTGAGATCAAAAGCACATACATGTTCATGGTCATGTTCCATATTTGCCCTTCTGGTTGAACAAAGCATGTGAGAAAAGTCCAGGAGGGGGTGTTTCTGTCTATTGAAACTTTGGCACATGCATTTCCTGCTGGATCTCCCCCATATACAAGTGTGAACACAGAGACAAAGGAGGGAATTCCTTCTCTTTGAAGAACATGCTGGCAAGGGTACCTTGCTTGGAACTTGGCCTTTTGTTAAAAAAACAAAAAAAAGCAAAAAACAAAAAAACAAAAAACAAAAACTGCTGAATCAGACAAAGAAAGCAGCGATGGAAAATCCCAGCATCTTCCTGCCCCCTTTCTTTCCATCCCCAAGAGAAAAAACAAAACAAAAAACCACTGAGCATATGCAGTGCATTCTGAGAAAGTCAATCATCGTTGTGTTTAGCAGCCCTTCAGGTTTATAAAGGATGGAGTGGTGGAGACTGTGCTTCGCATCCTCCTCCTCCTCCAATGCTTCTATTATTGCTATGGCTGCACCATTATTAATATTGCAGGCATCTCACCATGTTTTCAAACAAAAGCTTGGCTACCATTTCTGCAAATGTCATAAGAGCTAAGCTCCCTGTAAAACTTTAAGGAAACATTTTAAAAACTAAAGCTGCACAACTTCGATCTGAACTTCATTAATGGCCTTCTTGAAGCCAAACACGGTCTTGCGAGGCCCATTAGTGTGGTCTGGAGGCTCTGAAGGCCTTCATAGTTTCTTGGAGTCCAAAAATGCTTCACTTGAGCTGGCATGGTTCCCTGGCCTGTGCTGTTTGGGGCCTTTACTGGGTCCAGGTAAAATTCACATCTTGTTTCTTTCTCTTGATTCCATTAGTAAAGATGAAATATAAGACAGTGTTAGGCTGCCTGGGGAAGCGGCAGCTAGATTCCTTATTGGAGGGGCTGAGAGAGCTTTCCTGCATTCAGCATCCTTTTAGCTACTCTGCAGCGTACTGGGATATGACTCCTTAATTAATAATGCTAAGCCATTTTGTGGCCAAATATACAGTAAGCCTCTATAGGCAGGAGATCATGTCCAAGTCTTTCCGGAGAGGAACATTTATGAAGGGCCTTCTGACCCCCAGGCTTCACGATCAGAGTCTGCAATGAACAGGCTCAGTTTTCAGTGGCCCATCTCCAACTCTAATGGCAATGGATTTCATTTAATGCAATGTCCCTAGCACTATCCTTGGTGCTAGCAATGTGACAGTAAAGAAGACCGTATGTCCCTACAAAAGACATACAGTAGAGGACTGGAGACAGATCACAAAGAAACACGCACACTTTAAAAATGTTTCTAATCACCTCTGAAACAATTAGAGCAAGATAATAAGGTAGAGAAGATGACAGACACATATACATATATACATATGAGTGTTAGGTGGGGCAGCTATTTTAGATTCTCTAATCAAGAGTGAACTTCTTGAAGGAATCCCAGCATTTAGAAGTATCTAGATACAAAGAAAAATGAGCCTTGGAATATCTGGAGAAACTAAGGGTTGGTGTTCTGAAGTTAGGATGAACCTTACACACTTGAACAACCACAGTGTGGATGGAAATGGTTAAACAGAAGGAAGCAAAAGAAGAGAAAGGTGAGGGCTTCTCCACTCACACCTTCACTGGGTGACCTGTGCCTCTTGCCTCTTGACTTCGGGGCTATCCATGTGCTCATCTCTTTGGTCATGGCAAAGTGGGCAGAGATGATAGCGTATTGCCCTGACTGGAGGTCTGGAAAGGTTTGTCACATGACAGTTGTCCATGCACAGCTGAGACAGAGGCAAAGGATGAGCTTCCCTTCCCCACCCACTTCGGCCTGGACAACTCTGTTAGGAATGGCTGGCTGGAGCAGACC